ACGCAAGTTTAATTATTATTGTAACCTCGTAAAATGGATTTCCTTTGATTGATTCTTTAATAATTTAACGTTATTTACCAGGTTTCCAAGTGACTGTAATTTAAGAACGAAGTGGCTGAATATTCTCAATTTACCTGTCTTTAGAAGTGAAATTTAAATTTATATGTAGTGACCACTTCAGTGCAGACAGTTTTCATCAATCTGAAGGGCGAAGCCGAAGAAGGTTGCTGACAGGAGCACTTCCAGTTGTACATGAAGATGGGAAGACAATTTGCTTGTCTGAACCTCGTCATATTCAACAGGATCAATGTGATGTGGTACTTAGCCCACCTATGTACAAACATGTATCAACAGTTGACGCATCAAATGATTCCCTAGTAGCTGTCACCGAAGGTAGTCGTAGCAGCCATGAATCTTTTGATAATACAAGGAAAAATGATTATGCTGATAATAGTTCCCTGGAAGACTCTAGTATTACTTTGATACAGAGCTTAACTACATTAAAAAATGCGTCAACAACTATGAATATGCAAGAAAGTAGTTCGAACTATTTTCCACTTGGGACAAATACTGCAAGTCATAGCAACGGATCAGTTCTCCAAAATTGTGCTTCATCAGTCAATTCTGTAAATGTTAAAAGTAACTCAAGGAAAAGGTTTGAATATTTCATACATTGTCATATTTAATAATTTTGTAGCGTGTCTGAAAAATTATCATTTACTTGTAGGAAACTGACATGTGAAAATTATAGTGCACCAAAAAAGATCAAAATCATGGATGGATGTGAAACGCATTATATATCACGATCTCAATTTTTAGACGACGAGGGGTGGAACGTATTCCTGATTTATAAAAAAGTCCAAGAAAGAAAATTGGCTGCAGCCCAGAACAAAAAATCTCGACGTAATAAGAAAATTAAATGTTTGACTGGTGTGATTCAAAATCTTAAAAACACCAGCGAGAGGGGTATTGTAGAAAATTTCTTGAAGGTTAATTGAATTTATTTTTTAAACTTTTACGACATTTACGTCCAAAATGAATTTATAATCGTGATTTTTTATACTTTTTAATTATAAGAATAAATCTTAATGAAATTTTTTTGTTATATTTTAATTTTTTCAATTTATTGTATTGTGATCAGAGATTTTTACACATTGAGTAATATGTACTTTTTATACATACCGACAAGACAACACTGAATTTGTATCGGATACTTGTCCTAGCAAAAAGGAACCGTCTGTCACACAACAATTGTACAATTTACATTGGTTTAAAATGTAACAAATATATTTACCTTAGAAAGTTGAAATACCTATTTACTCTCATTTATTTACCAAGCTAATCGAAAAAATGATTGTTTTTCTACAATGAACAGCTTTCATGAAACTTACAATTTGGTTTCGAATTTTTGCAGGACCTACCGGTACATGTTCAAGAACTGATTATGAAAATGAAATCCTCAAAATCCACTACTCCTTTTCCACCCAATTTACGGAGTTTTGCTCGTATGTTGCATTTCCACTCACCAAGTGCGTATAACGCGGTCAGAAAGTCGTTTTTAAAGTGTCTTCCAGCTGTTCAAACACTCAACAGGTGGTTGAGAACAGAAGACTTCTCACCAGGAATATCCTACGACATTATCAACAAAATTAGTGATTTGGTGAAGAAAGAAAAGGAAAAAGGTCGTACATTAGCGTTTAATTTGACTTTCGACGAAATGAGCATAAAGCAGCACAAGGAGTGGGATAAAGTCAAACATTCGTGGAAAGGATTGGTGGATCTGGGAGGTCAGCTTTCAGAAGCGGATGCAGATGTTGATGCTCAAACTGCTTCTAAAGCTTTCGTTTTTGTTTTGGTAAGCATAAATGGTGGATTTAAGGCCGCCGTGGCACACTATCTCATTAGTTCACTGACTGGTGTTGAAAAGGCGATTCTTCTGAAAGATTTACTGTCAGTGCTAGGAGAAAAAGAGATCATGGTTATGAGCATTACGTTTGATGGGGATCCTGCACACCGAACTGCTTGCGAAAGTTTAGGAGCTAAATTAAATTACAATGCAAATGATTTCAAACCATACTTTAATCATCCTACAACCTCCGATCCTGTTTACATATTTTACGATCCGTGTCATTGCTTGAAACTTTGCAGGAATTATTTCGCATTGAAAGGTCCTTTTACATTTGAAAATCGTGACATTATAGACTGGCGATATATTATTAATTTGAATGAGAAACAAAAGAGCGAAAAGTTACATTGTGCCAATAAAATTAGTAATAGACATGTTAACTTCACTTAAGTGAAAATGAAGGTGTTTTTGGCGGCGCAGGTTTTAAGCAGAAGTACGGCTGTAGCTTTAAGATTTATGGAAAATGAATTATGTGATCCAAAATTTTTAAACTCTGGACCAACAGCTACTTTTTGTGAAAACATTAATGAAATGTTCGACTTGTTAAACGTTCGAAGTCAGTTCAGCAAAAATCCCACCCGCATACCAATATTTCAGGATTCCCTGCCTGCAATGAGAAAAAAAATTGATGACCACATCGAGTACATCAAACGATTACAATTTTCTGAGCCAGTAAAAAGTAAGAAAAATTCGATCATAATTTACCGCGATATCTCAGTTTTGAAAAGTAGACTAGTAAAAACAGGTTTCATGGGATTTATAATTTCTCTGACAAACTTATACAATCTTGCTTTTAATTTAATTAACAATAGATACTTGAACTACCTATTAAGTTATAAGCTAAGCCAGGACCATGTTGAACTGTTTTTCTCTCTCATAAGAAGCATGAATGGACACAACAATAACCCGACGACAATACAGTTTTTATCTGCATACAAAAAACTCACTTTTCAAAAAATGTCATGTGTCACATCTAACTCTGCAAACTGCCTACCTTTAGATAAGACCCTTTTGCTGTCGAAGGATGAGAGCAGTGGTGACATTGCACTAAATAATGAAGAAACCAATCTCAACCCTGCTCAGAAAGTAAAACACGTATCTAAGAATAGTAAAGCTTTACCGACACTACCACAAATACTTCTTTCAGTTAACATTGACAGTTATTTCCTCAACCAAAATTGTCTTTCCGATCATAATTACAGCACATCAACATCTTGGGTATCTAATGAATATGCTCACGAGGTAACAGCTTACGTAGCAGGAGCAGTAGTGCACGTTCTTAAACAAAAAATTCACTGTCATCAATGCATTCAGTTAATAGTTGAGAGTACAAGTGAAAAGAAAAGTAAACTGGCTTATATCTCTATGGTTAAGAAGGCGTAAAAAAGTAGCGTAGGTGGTGTATATGAGGTTAGGTTGTGGAATGCATAAGTGAAGGCACAAGGTGTCCCGTTGTTCTGGATTGGATTGGGAGAGAGTGTGCATCTCACGTCCTGGATCCTGCAGGACTCTTGAAAATATGCTCTCTTCCTAATTTTCTACTCCTCTCCCTCGCGATCTCTCTCTCTACTCTTTCATCTCGTTCACCAGCCTGCTCTCTCAACACGTTCAAACTTTCTTCTCTTCGTACTTTTTTCTTTTTAAATATTTAAATTAAGTATTTTCTTTTTAAATAAAAAAACAAAAAAAATAACAACTAAGCGGGGGGGGGGGGGGAAGCTAATAATAAAATTACGATGATTTAATTGTCATTATATTGGGTGACATAAATAATTTCTTGTGTTAGTTTTCAATGTAACCGGTACAAAGGATTTTATCGGAAAATTGAAACAAAAATATAACTGATCATAATTAATAATATACTCACTCAGTGGATTTGAAACGAAGTTCGTGTATAACGTAATCATGTATCTAAATAATAGGAGAATAAAGTAATGTATTTAACATTGATAATTGACAATTTTTATTTGTNTTTTTTTTATTACCATCATTATTATCAAGTATGTCAATATAAGTTATTAGAAAAATTTTTCGGATCACCAATGATAGCGATATTGAAATAAAAATTACACGGAATGATATTTTCACACGGGCAGCTTGGATAAGTAGTTATTTTTTGGAGGCTCGCAATCAGATGGAGCCTAATACTCTCCAATACAATCAATTTTATCTGTTTCCCGTGATCTTCTCGACAAGCCCGCAAGACCTTGTTTCCTCAACTTTTATTTTGCCAAACTCGACGAAACACCCGATCAATAGTAATTAGGAGAAAAAAAAAAACAAACTGATGTCGGGAACGGCGCAAAGGCATTTAGACACACTTTCTCATGACTCACATGTGTGTACACACAAATATAAGAAGGGCATCCGGTGATACATACATAACATACATGCTAAGCAACAGAGCAAGCATCAAAAGCAACTGTTCTCTCTCTCTTCCCTGATCCTTCATCATTCTCCTTCTCCCGCCTTTCTCCGGGGCTCTCTTTTCTCCAAATCATTACGTTGATTTTCCACTTTATTATTTTTTTTCTGTCATCTACTTATAAAAAACCGGTATAAAATGTTCTTTGCCATTGATCTTATGAAAATCCACGTTAATAAAAGAATACAGACTCTAACTAAAATAAATCGGCTACGTGGCTTCACTGAAAAAGATTAAAAAATAACGGAAAAGTAAAATCGAGAAGAAAAGAAAATGCGCGTGGAGGAGCGGCATACATCTACGGATCCTCGCACGCGCAACTTGTGTACGTTATAGTTTGCCCCTTTCTTTCCCTTTTGCTATTCCCAACGTCCGTGTAAAGTATACTAGGTATTCCCCAACTGTCTTTTCCCTCCTCTTTTTTTTCTTTCTTTAAAATTCCGTCGCTCTTCCACTGCCGCACCGAACTTATAACATACAGCGTCATAGGAAAAAAATGCCTATATAACACGTACATGGGCGCGTGTACTATATATAAATAACACATTTGACGCTCTGAAGAACGCCGAATCATAAAACTCCACGAGATCGCTCATATTTTTTACTTCTACTTTTTCTGGACCGTTTCAAAAATATTTTATGATTTTTAGGATCCTATTGGTTACTCACTTGATTTTGTATGCAGATAAGTATCTCCTACAGCTGCTGCTACAAAAATTGTTACGTTGTTATTTTCAAGGTACTTGGTTATTGACATAATTTGCCACTGCTCAATATATTTAATGAAGAACCGTCAGTTGAATGTATGTTGTTACATTATATTCTACTGTAAGCACTTTTTTTCGTGTATCCTTAAAATCGTTATTTATTTTACACTTGTAATCAACACTCAAAGCATACACCTGCTTTTGTTAATAAAGTTCAGTCACTTTAGCATATCACATCACTATAATTATCTGCATGCACACGTATGGACATACCACACAGCAATAAGAGAAAATGTTTGTAAAATTATTCTTGTTACAACAGTAGCAACAATTACTCTGTATTAAAAGAACTTGACCAGCCTTCTCCATACAGTTTGCTACAATTATATATTTCCATATATGATTGTGATTTGAACATATCAGATTCTACCAACTATTAACTGAGCAGCTGATCCAATCATCAAATTATAGTTGATAAGAATTCACGAAAGTCTCAAGTAAACAAGTGAAAAACGAGACCAGCAAGTACTATAAGAGTTGATGCAGGTTGGGTACATCCACAATCTCTTAACAAAACTGGTAAAAACTGCACGTGCGTTAAATACGTAAGTACATATACGCTCGTGTATGACTGTCTCTTGTAAAAATAGTGTTTTCATAGAAAACAAAAGAACTAGATCTTTTGTGTAGTTTGATGGACACACACTGTGCACTACGACGAACCTGTACGGGAGCAGTAGTTTCTCACGCGGACGGAAAGTAACAATAAGTCGAGATCCAGTCTCGGATCCAGTACCCAGGAGTAATCATCAACGCCACCCAAGCGATGATTCTTTATTCCACTTTTTTCCTCGTGCTTCTGCAGTAAGGAATACTTAGCTCTCGTATAGCTTTCCGATGAACGACGACGCAACGACAAAACTCTCATGCATCCGTATACGAAATGAAATGCGTAATACCTACACACCACTGTACACGCGTACGTGATGAAGGTTTAGGTACAAATTGTATATAGATATATTGTATATTTTATTACAGATCGTGGATCGTGCTCCGTGCTGAAACTGCTTAAATGGCGCGAGCGACGTGTGCGTTTTTCGTACACCATCACCACAGACTCCACAGAGCACCAGTAGCACCACCCATCACCCATCCACGCGCTCGATGACCTCTCTCTCTTTATTTCCAAAAGCTCGTCCTCTCTTCGGTCGTCTTATACGTGGGGAAGACGAAGATAGCCTCTAACCTCGCTTTCTCTCTCGTGCGTAATACCCTTATACCTACCGTAACACAATATAGGTACCTATATGGGTGCAGCAGCTTGCATGTAAGCACTAAAAAAGCACACTGTTAAGAACATAGAGATATAAGCCATTGTTCACATGTGCTTTTTCACCACGCAATGCTCCTCGAGGAGGGTTTAGGCGACATTCTCGCAGCAAAAATTGCCTAATTTCCCCCTACCCCCCTCCCAGTAATGGGAGGCCTCCCATCCCTTTCCTTGTCCCTTTCCCAAGTGCTAAGTGCCCATAGTAGTGCCCTTAATAAAGGAGCCGGACGTAGAGCACTATAATATAAAAAAAAAATATATATGTAGAGCTTATGCGACACAGTAAGCAAAATGCTAATAACTCTTCTCTACTGTCAGAAAAAAATTATCTGTCAATAATTATACTTTCTGCACTTCGAACGATGGGTTATTTTTTGAATATGCCCCTGTAGTGTCAGGAAGATATACGTGGAAAAGTGGCCAACATCTCGTTTCGAGTATCGTTCCATGTACACTATGGGGTGCGTATACACACACTTATCTATTAAATATCTGATGACTCAAATCCTATGATTTTGTGTACAGAATATCATACGTAAAATATTATGCGTGAAACGAATAACAAATCCACTCGTTTCCACTGTATTTCATATTTTTAGTAAGGATTGAACGACGTATCAAGTGAATGTTGCATCAATTATAAGAAGTTTAACTTTTCATGAGTTGCTCTGTTGTGTTAAAGTGATTTATTTCACGAGTATATTAACTTTTTATGTAAAAAAACAAGTATTAGACTTATCATATTAATACAAGTAGTTACATTTTTAGATACTGATAATTTACTTCTTTGTACGGATCCTTTGTTTTAAAGGAAAAAGCTCACTTAAAAGCAATTAAATTTGACACAAATCAAAGAAGTACCTTTTACGTTACAACTTTAACAATACAAATTTCAGTTAGCCTGCTCCCTGAGTATAGTGTCTTTATCTCTATTGAATAAGTACGAAACAGATAATTCAAGCAAAACAGAATGAAATGCCAGATTTGAAGGCAATACTTAGCTTGTTTACCTGAACCAAGCAATCAGTTCAGGTTATTCGGGTTAGGGTGCCTGTACATAGACGTCTGAGGGCAGTTGTAAGTACTTTCAACTTTATGTGAGCACACCTTTAAAAATATTAACACTTTAAGCCAAAGTATCGCCCGGATATTGAATTAAAATTAATGAAGAATGGGCCTGATCACATAAAGTGTTCGCTCGCAAACGCTACGCTCTTGCATAGCATTGTCGTAGGTCGCAAGATTAGCTAATATTTTTAAGTGTATGTGCCTCGGTATTCGTAATTTGTCTTTTGTGTCGTGTTAACCCAACTAGTGGAGCTACACTGATGTATCTTGTCAATACGGAAATCTATGTACAAGTATAGGTCCCAATAAGTCACGGCAGAGTAGGCACATTAATAACGTTTTTGAAATGATGTTGAAAAAACAATTTAACAAGCGAAATGCATTTGATGGATGCACTCTCCTTTGTACTACAAGAATCATGTTTTTCTATATCGTTTGAAAAATGTTGTACTAAGGGTACCTGGTTGCTTGGTTGTATTTAATGGCAGGGGGTATGCATAGACTCCGCTACAATTGATTAAATTATTTACTATTTTTTATTCATATTTCACTTCTAATTTGAAAAAATTGTTCGTAAAGTTTTAACCCTTTTAAATTTATTTTGGAAATTAGGTCAGTAGTGATGTTAATAAGTAATTTAAGATAGATGGGTTATATGATGTAACGAAATTATAAATCACGGAATTATTGAATTATAATTCTAAAACAAGCGATTTAAACTAGTAAAAAATTGTAAACAAAGTATATACCTTACGTACAACTCTACTTTAAAAAGTTTCACATTAAAAAACTTTTTTTTCAAATCGTTATCCTTATACAGACAACTTTCAAGATATCTGAAAAAATCCATAGCGTTATATTAATTGTTAAAAACTAAAAAAAATAAGATCCATTGACATAGATGAATATAGATTAATGAAGTATATTGTACTAAAAATAGTTTTCAGTTAATATACATGATTGTTTCAAAAATTACATTACATAAC